TCTTATCGGGGGTGGATTCATGTACACAAGATAGGTTTGCCTGACTGACTGCGCGAACGAGTGTTTGTGCGTGGCTTCATCCCTGAACGGAACATCTGTCAGGGGCCTGGAATACACACTCGGTAAGCTCTATCTTGTTTGTATGCTAAAAAGGGGGCACATTTTTATATTGCGTTTCATGGTGATCGTGTTTTTTTTCCTTTTCTTTCTGTGGTGGTCTTGTTTTTATTCATATTCTAGAAATTAATGGCATTGCAATAATACGCATGTGCAATTGTGATGATGTGAAATGTTATTAATGAGTAACACTGTTTTTACGTGTCTCTAAAATAACCATAACCATAATGTGTCTACAAAATAGCTATGACCATACCGTAACTGAGGGAGAAAATATATATAGAAAATTACGAAAAACACTGTTTTAAAATATAGCAAGATCAGAAAGGAATAAGAGATGAACTGATAAAGAAATCAAATTTACATATACCATCCTTTTTCAAACGGGGGAGGAATTCTAGTATTTAGTCAGTGACCGAAGTTTTTCCTTCGACACTCGAGTCCACAGTTCGAGTTTTTGAATGCACTCACAGCGCAAGAGAAGCACCTGATAAGCACGTATTTTTTAAAGATATCTTAAGAGATACACTGATACGTCATAAGACATTAATCAGTATTATAAATCTGTAACGCAAAGATCGATGATACTGATAAAAGCCGTAAAATTACTGATGGTGATAAAGCAATTTTTAAAGAGGAGCAATCAATTGCGTCTTTTCCATGCATATGTTTGTTGTGAAGGTATTTTTCCCCGACTGAAACTAGTTATCATGTTTGGTGATTAGGGATTCAGAGGGTTTTATGAAATGGAATGAATCACTAAGTCCTGACTGTCATCTTACTTTTCCCTTCCGCCATGCCTTCGACACTGGAATAACCTTGTCTTGGTTTCGTTCTCAGGTCCATCGCCATGGAACGAGGCTTCGGCTACGCGCGCGAGAGGCCCGCCGGCGCCTGGCACGATTTCCCTCCCCGCGACAGGGACGAAAGTCTTTATTATTACCGCGACGCTCAGAGCCACTACCCTTGGCACGCACAACAGGCGCAATACTATGCCCCTGAGGAAAGGGTGAGAGGCCGCAGGTATGACTCGCCCTTCGAGGAAACAAAGGCCGCTCGGGGTCACCGTGAAGAACATGACCTCCAAAAGGAGTTTGGGTTCTCATACACCTCCGGAATACGCGAGATGCAGGACATCAAATCCAGGCAAAACTACCAGCAGATCCGCAACCACGAGAGGCGCAAAGCCGCCTTTGACTACCAGCGCGAGCGAAGGAGTCACGAAAGAGTCCCTCATTACGTAAACGGCTTTCAGGAGTCAGTGCAGCATCCGCGGAGAGAATTTTTCCACGAGTGGAACAGAGGCAGACGCGAGAGATCACCGAGTCCCAGGCGGAACGGAGCTTGGAGAGGACGTGAAGATTTCGACGCAGCCGTGCAGCCGCGTCCACACCACGGCAGGTCATCGCCCCCGCACTACAGGCAGCGAGAGCCAGCGAGGAGGGCCGACTCGAACCCAAGCTTCGAACACCGTTCCCGACAGATGCCTTTCAGGAGCTACAGCCCCACAGGCCAAGAAGAGCAGAGGAGACGGAATCTCGGCAGACAGGCCTTCCGCCCGCGTTCGAACTCGCTCGAAAGTTACTGGGGCCCAGCGATCTCGCCTACCAATTCGAACGAGGCTTTTACTGACGCCTACTACGAATCGAGCACCTCCAGCCCAACGCAGCAGCCACCGCCTGTATTTCAGCATCAGCCCCGGGAAAGGGCTGGGCAACGCCCACAGCCTCACCAGCCCTTCATACCGCAGCCCGACTATACGTGGCACAAGAAGAAAAAACGATTCCCCGTTCAGCACCCGGATTACCCATTTTAATTTCTTGTGTCAGCTACCCGAGTTCGCTCGAAGATACTTTAGTACAGGTTTGCAACGTACAAAGTGTATTTAAGTCTAGATCCCCACGGTAAAACTATAACCGCTTAACAAATATGTATATTATATTGTGAATAAATGCATAATGTGTAACGGTCTATTACACCCCTCGCCTGAACTGCTAGAACGTGATTAACAAGTAATTATTCAGATAAGATAGTTTCCCATGTTGTGCTATTTATGGAGACTGTTTTAAACGTATCGAATAAAAAAAATGTATCTTGATACTTACTGTGACGGAGAAACATTGCCATATAGTTATCAAGGCTATGAAAGTAAAAATATCTAGGTACAATTCATTGCAAAATGATGATTGCATCAATCAATGCCAATCAATGAATAGGTTTTTTCTTTTGCAATCTATTTATTCTGTCGTATCTTGCTGAACTGAATAGAAAATCTAAAGTAATGCGAAAGCAATGGCCACTCTTAAGGCAAGGGATTGATATAGTAATTAGGTAATGATGCTGACCATGTATACCGAATTGTTATCAAGGCAGAGAAGAAATT